TATCTCAGTCCTGGAGTCAGAACTCTGGAATCCTCGTGCCTAAGGGATGGTTATGTTCCTATGAAAGGGGATTGCCTTTGTCTGTGACGATCTCAGTCAGATGTGGCTCTGCCTTTCTTGGACTTCAGCTGATCACAGATTTGGGACAATGGCCAGAGACTCTCAGGTGTACCTGACTATCCTGGCAAACCTTTTATCCTGGTGTCCTTGGTCTTGGGGAGGAATGAAATCCTGAATACAACCTTGGCAGGCCCATACTCCCTGAATGATCAACATAGCCTTGTGCAGAGCTAAAAAGAGACCTGACCCAAGGTTTACAGTAACAACGGATACAAAATGAAAGCCAAACTTTGTTCTGCTTTTAATTCCTGTTGAGTATTTGTAAGCCCAAGTCTCAGTCATGAAAGATTATAGAAAATTGCAAACACTCTGAACCAAATTTGGGTCCTTTTATTGCTGATGATTGATAGCAGCTAGCACTCTGAATCTCTCAACTCCAAAAAGTGGCTTGCAGGTTTCTTTTAAGTGGCTCTTCTAGTTGGGGAGGGCTCCGGAAGAAAAGGAGCACAAGTGGAATTTTATAGAAGCAGAACTTGGCTAAGGTAGTGGGGGTCGGGAAATTTCACACAGTTTAGTTGAAACCAAATATCACACAGGTGTGGATTATTTTGTCCACAAGTTCATAAGGATAACGCTGAGATGCAGACTACTCTATCGAATGGGATGCTGTGGTCTGTCATGCATCAGGTGAGGGGACTCTTGGGGGGTGAGGGCGAGGTGGCCACCCATAATCACTTGACTTTACACAAAATGGAGGGGGAACGGTGGTGAGGAACAAAATGGAGACAGGTTGGCTATCACACTGGTTCATAGCAAAAATGGCCGTTAAGTCCTCGGCTGTCCCAGGAGAAAACACAAATTATTCTTTCAATGTACAGCAGGTAGAAGCCCAGGATTCAGCCTGTTTCCCATCCCTGTAGTGATTCCTGATGCTGTTATTGTTACCTGGAAGCTGGGTCCTAACAGGATGAAGTCTCAGTTTACATTTATATGATTACCTGGGTCTTCTAAGGAATATCTCTTCCTTCCTCTGAGGCCATTGTTTTATACAAATAAACGGGCTGTGTTGACCCACTCCAGGGAGAAATAAGTCAGCATTATTCCGTAGTTGGATGTCTCTTTTGTTTGTTTTGAGACTTGGTGGTTTTTCTCAGTCCCTCACCAATGGTTTGAACTTTATACGAACCTGGACCCCTATCAGCATACTTAGAGATGCTACATTCTCTTAAGCTAAAGTTTGAAACCAGAAGCTCATGTGTGTCTTATCTAGAGCTAATGATGTTTTCCAAAAAGCCTACAGTCACCTAGCTCAGCTTGCTAATGACTAACTTTCTGCCTACGATGATTGCATTCAACACTTGAGAAATTTTGTTTTTTCCTCATAGATGTTGCTTGATTTGTTCCTAAATTTTCCAGACTTGTGTGTTACCACTGGGTACTTTTGCATCCCAGAGATGGGACAGGTGGTTTGCTGACTTTTATGTGGAGATAAAGATAGATGATCCTATTTGGCTTATCAAGAAAGGATGAATCACTTCTCCGCCTCTAGGCAGCCATGTCAAAAAAAGAGCAATTAATGTGAAATTTCGGTGACACAGAAGAAAAATATTTGCAAGGAGAATAAACATCACAGGTCTACCACAAGAGATTTTTTCATTGGCCAAAGTGAATTAATGTGGAAAGGAATAGGGAGTTCAAGCTTTTGACTTGATTGATAATTACATAATTCTGAAATGTGTGGTTTTAAAAAACCCATTAATATGGTACTTTAAAAAATTTATTTAAAAATGTTAACTTCAGATTGAAATTTTTAGAAAGAACTAATTTTTTTAGAAAGATCTAATTATAAAGAGAGTCAATACAAAGTAGACTCCACTTTCTGTACGTTTGCAATACAACTGGAATTAGTAAACATATAGACAGGTACACATTTGCTCTTTCTTAGGAATACTGCCCCCTTTTTGTTTTTTGGGGGTGGGGTCTCACTATATAGTATAAGCTGGCCTTGCGTTTACTCTGTAGACTGGGCTGGTCTCAACATGTGGTGGTGATTACTCCTGCCTCAGCCTCCTGAGTGCTGGGATTACAGGTGTGCCCTACCACACCAACTTCTTTCTTGGGAATATCCCAAAGCTCAGTGAGATGAGCCCAGGGAAAGATAGATTCAGGAAGATGAGGCATAAGTACACGATCCAATCAGATGAAAATACTATGTTTGATTACACCTGTGGTTAAATTTAAAAGATTACTAGCCAGGTGTGGTGGTTCACACCCGCAGTCCCAGTTAGTAGGGAGGCTGAAGTAGGAGGATTGCAAATTGGAGGCCAGCCCGGGCAACTTGGTGAGATCTTGTCTCAAAATGACATAAAAGGAGCTGGGGATGTAGCTCAGTGGTAAAGTTTAAACCCCTGAGTCACATTTTTAAAAATTTACTGCCTCTCTTCCTGTGCCTTGGGGAGCTGTGGTCTGGAGTTTCTGTGAATGCCTGATCTAAATTGAAGTTGTCAAATTAATATTCGATTCATAATCTCAAAGAGCCTTTGGGTCTTACAGAGAATATTATTTCAGATAAAAGGAATTCACCTGTGCATGGGGCTGTGGAAAATCAGGTTTAGTTTGGGAAGCCCATGTGTCTGGACTGTGATGTGTAGCAGATCACGAGTCAAGTTCATGGCTCTGTTCGTCAAGTCTTTTTTTCCTCCCTCCTTTCTTTCTTTGCCCCTTTGGTCTTGAGGCTTAAGTTAGTCCACTCCGCCCACAAACAACTGTGGTGAAAGACATCAGGTCTCGTACTCTGGCTTCTGCACAGATGAGTGGGTAATCTCTGTGTACTCACGAAGCACAGAAGCGCTGGTAGATGGAGAGCTCATCGTGGAGTGGACTGGAAGCAGGGTGTCGGTGTCGGGGGCCACTTCTTCGGTTTACGTTATTTAAAGTTAGGGTGCTGTGGAAAGTTCACACCACACACACACACACACACACACACACACACGACCATGTGCTTATAAGAATTCAGTTCAAAACAGGAGTAAGAGAGTAGATTTCAAGATTCATTGAAAGAGCTGTACATTAGCTATCTGAAAGGAAACTTCTCACTGTGTTATTTTTCTGCTATAAACCTAATGTTTCAAAAAAATTTTTTTCCTACTTTCTTAAGTACAGCTGGGTTCAGACAACAAAGTCCTTGTGTTTGATCTGGAAGGAAAGATGAAAATCTTACTGCTCAGCCGATTGGGGAAAAGCCTATTTATATTGAGAGTTTTAAATAAGCCCGTGTGTTAAACTACTATTTTTAAGAGCTTAAGCAAATTTTGTAAGTGCAGGCCCAGGATATCAGAGATCTCACGGCACACTGAGTTCTAGCCTTTGAGCTGAGTCCGTCCATCCACAACATACCTGTTGGTTGCTGTTTTTCTGTCAACACGCCTCCCATGCGACATTAGGATCCTGCTGCTGCTCTCTTTTTTTCTTCATTTTACCACAAAAAACTGTTTAAATTTTTCATTTTGAAATTTATCCGTTTGGTCCCAGTTCTTTGAGCTCTTATTAATAACTGTATGTGACTGAAATTAGAAAAAAAAAGAAATCCCAACTTTGAAAGAAGAAGCTATGGAAAAATAGAATTCCATATCACTAAAACCTGTACACCTCCCTCTCCTCGCCCTTTCCCCTTCCTCTGTCCATTTCAAGCCTGCTTTGATCCTTTGGGAATATTTCTGCACATTGTAATGCTCTGCCGCTTCTTGGCAAGGTTTGAGGTTTGAATTTTTTAGATAAATAAACCTTTTAGAACAGTTTTAGAGTCACAGAATTATGCCAAAGATATAGATCTCATAACCAGTCTCATTTGTAGTTAACCTTTTGCGTAAGTGTGAGACATTTGTTACAATTAGCGAGCCGATATCGATACATTTTTATTGAAGAAAATTCACGCCTTTTTCTAGTTTTTTCAGTCTTTCCTTCATGTACTCTTTTTGTTCCAAGATTCCACTTCTGTATTACATTTATTTTTCATGTCTCCTTAGACTTGACTTGGTTGTGACAGTTTTTCCTATTTCCTTGCTTTTGGTAACTTTGATAGTTGTAAAGATTACTATTTAAGAGTTTGGTAGAAATGGAATCTGATGTTTTTCTCAAAATACCCCGGAGTATAATGTTTTTAGGGAAGAAAATCACACAGGTAAATTGCCATTCTTACCACAACGTGTCAAAGATAACACATTGTGGTTGGTGTTGACCTTGATCATTTGTTTTAAGGCATTTGTTATGTTATAATCATGTTTTCACTTTTAGTATTTTTATTGCATTTACTGGTACATTTTAGATATACATAATGACCACATTCATTATCGGGAATTTGTACTTGTGTATGATATATCTTTTTTGTTGTTGTTGCTTGTTTGTTTGTTTGTTTGTTTTTGAAACAGGGTCTCACTATGTAGTTGAGACTGACCTGGAACTCACTTTGTAGCCCAGGCTGGTCTCGAACTCACAGCGATCCTCCTGCCTCAGCCTCCTGAGTGCTGGGATTACAGGCGTGCGCCACCACACCCAGCAAGTGCATGATATATCTTGATTCTTTTTTTTTCCCCATTCCTCCATGCTCGCTTCAATCTCTCTCTCACTTTTTATTTACAAAACTTTGTTTCCATTTTATGTTTTCTCGAAGATCAACCCCGCGTTTTCCTGAAAATTTTAAGAAGATATTTACGAAAGCCTTAAGAAATCTGTGGCTGGTCTCTTTGTTCTTGTTTACTGGCACAGTTGGAAAGCCACTATGAGTTTGTAAGAATTCGAGGTGCAAATTTCCAACGATGAATGTCATTTTATGGTATAACTTAAATGTACCAATAAAATTAATAATAATAAAAAAGAATTTAGACAAAAGTATTTTGGGTGGTAGTGAATAATATCTTCTCTTTTTCTTTCCTGTGTTGTAGGTGGGAATGAGATCCCGAAACCAAGGTGGTGAAAGTTCATCGAATGGGCACATCTCTTGCCCCAAGACCTCTAGCACCAGCAATGCCGGTGAGAAAAGTCTCTCAGAAGAGACAAAGAAGAAGAACAAATCGAACAGGAAGGAGGAGGATGTCATGGCTTCAGGAACGGTCAGGCGACCCCTGAAACCATCTGGTGAGAGTGAACGAAAGACCAAGAAGAGTCTGGAGTTATCCAAAGAAGATCTCATCCAGCTGCTCAGTATCATGGAAGGGGAGTTGCAGGTAGAACCACACTTTCAGGGACTGTTTTTCTAGTTCCTAGGCAATTAAAAAGGGGATTATGAATCTGTCCTCCTCACTGCATTGCAAACTTCGTGGGGAAAGGAGATAAACCTTTCTTATTCACTTTGAAATCCCTATGTGAGGCCTGGCACAAGTCTGTGCTTGCATTTGTTTCATGAAACACGCATTGGTTACCCGGAAGAGGCTGACTCCAACCTCAAGCTTCTCTAGACGCGGCCATTTCTTCATGAGGTGATTTTGGTAATAATTGAAGATAGGTCCCTGCCCTAGAAGGTACTCAAGCAGATTAATTTAGACACTGATTGTGGTGGATAAATGTGGCAATGTCATAATTATTAAAATAGATTGGGAAGATCAATAGTTTTGCTTCTTTCTGGAAGGTAGAGTGAAAGAAAGATATCAGGAAAAAGGGACAGGAGAGGAAGGAGGCTTTGTGGAAGCCAGAATCACTGCTGAGTCTGTTCTCAGTTTCTCATTAACTTCCAGCCTCAATTTCTTGCAGTGTTGGAGGCATCAAGATGTCTAACAAGAAGAGAACGGGATACAGGGAAGAGCTTAAGACTTTCTTAAAGCATTTTCAGGTCTCTTCGCTCATTTGATCTCCTGAAAATGTGGGCACCATTATGTGTAAAAAAAAAACTGAGTTCAAGGCTAAAAGTGCATCGTCTTGCCCTCATCCCATGCCCTCCCAGTAAGTCTGTGTTTTCAGGGATCCAGTTCAGAATCTGAGTTTCTGAGTTCTCTACAATTGTATTTCTGGCAGGGAGGGAACAATAGCTTTAAAAAAAAAAAAAGACAGTATGACTTTAAAGTGGAGTCGCTGCTTTCCCTTTTGTTTTTGTTGGGTTTTTAGCTTGCGGGAGCCTCAGGGAGCGGTGCCAGTTGTGTGACCTGAAGCCTTCTTGGCTTTCTGGGATGACCTCCCCATGCCAGGGGGGCCTCTCTGCTCCCTTCTCAGCCATGTGCATCCGGATGAGGAAGCCCCTGGGGAAAGAGAAATAAGAAGCAGACAATATTCAAGTCTGAACAAACAAACAAGCATGATTAAGTGTAGTGTTTATAGATTGAGGAAAATCACACTCGTATTTCACAGCAGACAGGTGAAATATTCCAGAGGGCCACCATTTCTAAAAATAGCGTCACACCACTCCCAGGAAAGCTGGTTCGTGTTTGATCTGTGAACACTTGCTGTGTCCGGAGGCAGGGTTGCTCCAGCTCCGTAAGCTGCCCCTGCTATCAGCCTGAACACTAGGTTCAGGTTCAGCTGTTGATTTAGGAGAAACCGTCTCACAGCAACACCTGCCCAACTCCTTGGCTGCCAAGTTGGCTCTCTTGAAGCTGGTGGCCCGTCAGTCTCCCTTCCAAAAAAAGGCGGACACAGCATGATGGGTAGTGTGACACATTTAAAATCCACGTGGCTTTTAGGTACCCCGCGGTGCTGGATATGGTTCTAGACTCTTGCTATGCAAGATAGGAGTTCACACATCAGGAAAATTGAAGAAGTTAGCTAGAAGGCCCCAAAGGAGTGCATTTTGCTTTGCATGAATGTTTGTAAATACAGGATCCTCTCCTTACACAGTAGATGTTTTCTTGAGCAGCTCTCAATAAGTCAAAACTGTACAATGTTACTTGTAGAGGAGGCAGTGAAGAGAAAGAAATAAATGAAGGGCCTGGTATTTAAGGTATCGCATGATGAGCTCATTTGCAAAGCAAATACTCCGTCACACACACATTTGTAGATGCAGATTTTGCAGTATTAAATCTGTTTCGAATGAGAGTGTCTATCTTTAGAGCTGTGGATACATATTTTGGGAGTAGACACTTGTCCTCTGCGGTGGTGTCACTGTGGGGAGGCTGTCGCAGGGAGAAGTGGAAGGCAGCTCGATTTGGCAGCTGGGAGTGGGCTGCTGGCCTAGGCAAAGGTGGCAGCCATGTGCAGGGTTTGCCCAGGAGGAAAATCTGTCCAAAGGTCTGGTGCGGAGAGGAGGGGCAGGAGAGGGCCTCAGCTGTGGCCACCTGCCCGCTGGCCTGTAAATGCAGAGCACTTAATAAGTTGCCCCTCAGGCCTCCATGGCTGCCTGTTGCCTCCTTCTTACAGAGTGGCCGTGTGGGACCCAGACACCCTTTCTTTGGAGGTGTTGTTTCAGGGTTCTCCGAAATTCCCCGGGGCTCCCAGCACCTCTGAGGTGACTTCTCGGCTGGCTCCATCACCCTCCCGTTAAAGCGGGTCACGTGACCGGCCTCACGCGGTGTGGCGACACAGTTCCAGTCACGCTCCGTCCAAATCCCTGGCCTTGTCCTCCAACGTCTGCCCCGTTTATCTCTGCCACCTTTTGGGGATGTTCAGGTATGGCCGGACCCCAGGACTTTCCTATTTATTCTTGGCCTCCAGAATTTCCTCCATGGAGACTCACATCTTAAAAGCCAAAGCCATTTTGGGGGAAAAGACAAGACTTTTGAGATAAGATAAATTGAAGTGTCAGAATGGGACTACAGCCTGGAAGTTGGCTGGATCCAGAGCGTGTGAGGAAGGGAGAAAGATGGAGTCCACATGGCTGTGTGTGCTGGGTGCCCAACTCCAGTGCTCTGCGTCACTGCTCTCTGGGTGGCATTTCCTGAAGAGGTACAGTGGGGCAGCTTTGGGGGACCACATCTACAGGTCAACAGGGGTGAGGTAGTGCACAGAAGAAAGCGTGCATAGAATTGGGAGTAGGACCAAGGTCTGTTTCACTGTGACTTGGGAAAAGCACAGGGATGTGAAGGCCCCTTCAGGCTCGCCTTGTTAAGTTTCTCCTTAGCCTTCTTTTTGATATCTCTTGCTCTTTGCAAATTCAATCCACTATATGGGACGTTGTAGAAAGCTTTGTGTATTTCCTTGGGACACCAGTGTCCTGTCACCTGTAGAATATCTTAACTGATCTTTGAGAATTTGTTGAATCAATATTATGAACAGACAGATCGAGTGGCACACACCTGTAATCCCAGCACTCTGGGAGGCTGAGGCAGGAGGATTGCTGTGAGTTTGAGACCAACCTGGACTACTATGAGTTCCAGGTCAGTCTCAACTACATAGTGAGACCCTGTCTCAAAAAAACAAAACAAACAAACAAACAAACAAACAAAAAACAAAAAACCAAAAAACCCAGCATAACTTCTAGTGTTAACTTTGGCTCTTTGCAGAATTCCTAAGTTCACTATTTTGTTTGCCAACCCATGAATTCTTAAATTACATCTTTGATGGATATGTATTAGAAGTGCAGTTGACCCTCCCAGGAATTTTCGCAGTCTTGAGTCTTGTTTAGATCTGGTAATACTATGAACCTTGTCTTGGAGAGGGACCTCTTCCAGGCTTTTATTCTGGTACTGGGGATTGAACTTGGGACCTTGCACTTGCAGGGCAGGCGGCGGCAGAACCACTGACTTAAATCCCTGGCCCTCTTCCAGACTTTTCATGCCACACCTTGGCAGATGCAGGCCCCATGTCTCAGCAGAATGACGAGTTGGCATTGCCTTCGTTGCCTGCTCTGAAAGAGCTGGGATGGTTTTCATTATTACCCTTGTGTCATTGATCATTCCAATAACAAGCACTTTCTAACAAATTAAAATATTTTACACTTTGGGTGAAAAACTGCCTACATATTTCCCAGACTAAACTGAAAGTAATGAAATCATATACCCATACTGTCACTTGGACACCGTGATTAATTTCCTCTTGTGCTTGTCCAAAAATAGCACTTTTAATAAGGCAGTCCACATGGCTGTACTAAAAACAACAAATCTTCAAAGGAAATGGTACTTAGTACATCAAAAAGCTGTAACACAGAAGACCTGGTGAAACTAGATTCTTGTAAAATGATTCAAGAACAAGACACAATTTAAGTCTTTTTCTTGATGCAGAAAAAAAATACGCATTTTGTATAGTAAATTCCCCTGATATATCCATTTGAAAATATTTTAGAAAAAACAATCTCAAATTGGGTTTCATCATTTCTCCTTTTGTTGTTCTAGTTAGCTGTCTTCTCCTGTGCAAGAGGCAACCCAGGGAAAACTAGGGTGCAGACCACTGGCTAATGCTCCATGCTTCAGTGGGCTTTGCTGTTCTGCCTAAGTCAGGCCCAAGGCCGTAAATACACAGAGAAGTCTCTCTCCATCCTGGGGGACTGGTAGAGGTGTTGTATTTCAAAGGTAATTTGTACAATAGGGTGCTGTGGGTTGTTACAAGTCACTTTATTCCGTCCTTTTGGGGTTCCTCCCTCTTTTTCTTTTATCTTGTTCACTGGTCTTCCTCTCCCTCACTACCACCTCCTACAGGTGGGCCTTCGCTCTGCACTCTCTCACTGAGTGTGTTCATTCCTAGAATGTTCATTAACAGTTCATTGATTAAAATAGACTTCTTACTGTATTTAAGAAATATGATTATTTTGTAAGGGGTTTGAGGAATGTAAAGAGGAGCAAAAATACTTGCAGCTGAAATGTGATGAGTTCTTATTACCGCATGGCAACTGCATATGGTTAGGCACTAAGGTATCACGATAACTGTTAAGAGGAACTCGTGACCCGTGGGATAAATAATATATAGGATTAAGTTTTCCTTAAGGTAATTTCAATACAAAGTATGGGAGTACAAAGGAAGGAAAGATTATGAAAATCTCAGAAGAGGAATGAAAGCTTCACTTAAAATTGGGCGGGCACATGTGTATAATGCCAGTGCTTGCGAGGATCGGGCAGGAGGATCTCAAGTGCTTGGGCTACACAGTGAGACTATGCCTCAGAAAACAAGCGGAAATTGAATGTTGAAGAATAGGAATTTTTCTTTTTTTTTGATACTGTGGATCGAACTCAGGTCCTTGCACTTGTAAGGGAGGCAGCAGAACCACTGAGCTAAAACACCTGCCCTAAGAATAGGAATTTTGAGGACAGGTTGGGAAAGTATAGGCCATGAATAAATAGTTCAACTTCCATGGAAAATTATTTGGTGG